CACATCCTCATATAAATGAAACATTTAGGGCTCGTTGTCCACATGGGCAGCGGTAAAAGGAGATGGTTGAGCGTCCCAAATGATTGTCTATAAAAGGGCATACACCTGTTCAGGGCTGTACACATGTCTTGGCCATGGCAAAAAATTAAACCACGTGAGTGTACAGGGCTGTGCCACAACCACCCTGCATTGCACATGGTGGTGGTCCAATAGTTCATCCATTTTTAGGGTTACAACAGCTGGTGAGGGGAGTGACATACTGCCTCCTTACCACCTGTCAAATGCCTTCTGAACAGCGATCCGCTACAGATCATTTTTTAGACGGGCAGCAAGGGCTGCTGCATGTCAGAAGTTCAGCTTAGTAAATGAGGCAAAGCTTCACTTTTCAAAGAATACCCAATCACATGCAAGGAAAATAAAAAAAAAACAGCATTTTTGCTTTCACATGATTGGATGATGGAAGTCAGCAGAGTTCTGGAGAACCTGCAATTGCAAAGGGCACAGTCTATTTGCCTTTAATAAATCCACCCCTAATGCTATTTGGGTTAGTTTAGTTCCATTTTAGGAAATCCTCGATGGAAATACCTTGTTTGTAGGTTCCAAAGAAAACATTTCTATTTTTTACCTTTTCGCCCCCCACTCCTTGGTCTCCTTTATCTCCCTTTTCTCTTCTCCTTCAGAACCTTTCATTCCTCGATCACCCTGGTGGAAAATATGGATGTCAGCATATATAGAAGACAGTCAAACATTTCACCATGTTAACGGGTAACTGATCCCCAAAAGGTAATTTGTGAGGACAAAAATTATTGAATCTGACACTGCTAAATTTTTTAAAGGAGCATCTTCTGAGGTTGTCACTATCTATTTGCTTTGTTTCCTAGTGAGTCACTAACCCAGAAGAAGTATGCAGCCCAGTGTCATCCATCTCCTCTCTGTGGGCCTAGTCTGTGAAGGATGTACCAACTGAAGGGGGCTGGGCTCACAGTACTGCCGCACTGAAAGTTGCTCAGACGCCAATACGCAAGCATAGCCCAGTTGTGCAGTAAGAACCGTGAGGGATCCGTGACATCACTGGGCCAAGCAGAGGACAGCTGGAATTAGGGTTTGTACTGTATTTGGGGAAACAAAAGTCTACTTGCAGGTGAAGGTTCAGGGGAAGGGGGTGTTGGAAGGACTGGGGGGACCAGGTATCTGAAAGGTGGAGATAGGCATCAAGCACTGTTAACATGAAACGTGTGGATCAAGGGTCCCCCATGTCTCATTGTTGGTTCATCAATAAAGATTGTGTACAATCTGCTGCTATGTGCGGTTGACTTCTTTGAATGTCACATACATAGTAATGTATCAACTTCCATATTTATACTGAATCATTGATTGAAGTAAGGAGAAGGTCAACAATTTCAACAGTCGCAGATTATATATCTATAGCACCCTCCTAGTTAGTTAGGGGGAGCTAGCTGATTATTTTTTCGTTAGAAGGGCTGAGTAGCAGCCTGGGCAATAGTCAGCTGGGTCAATTTTGGGTCAGGGCTGAAAGGCTGCAGATCAGTTCCTTGATACCTTCCCCTGTTCGAGAATCGAGAAAAGATTCTGGAAGCAGTGGGCGGGGGTGAGGAGGGGCTGGTCTACACTTCCTACACACTTAGGTTCCTTCAGGATGGAGAGTGGGGGGAAGGGTGCAGTAAATTTATCACATTTACCAGCCCCTTCCTTTGCTGAATGAACATGAGTGATCGGTACCATCACTCACTGTGTTCATTCATAACTGAAGCATAGTAAACTGTATTTATTTTGGGGGGCCCTTTCAGGTTGGCTGTATGGGGCCCCGTGGATTCTAACAGCAGCCCTGCCCGCAATACATGTTCAGCTATTAATTGATGGAGAAATGTTATGATAGTGAAAGCCGCTTGACTGGCTGAGCAGCAGTGATGTCACTTCTGTCACTGAGACTCAGGATGCGGCAGGACACTCTCAATGGATAGAAGGCCGTCCATTGAGAGCACAGTGCGTATGCTCTTGCCATTTTCAGATGATGGATTGAACAGTGCTCCGTGAGATGTTTAAAGCTTTGGAGATTGTTTTATAACCTAACCCTGCTAAACTTCTCCACATCTTTATCCCTGACCTGCCTGGTGTGTTCCTTGGGTCTTCATGATGATGTTTGTTCATTAATGTTCTCTAACAAACCTCTGAGGGCTTCACAGAACAGCTGTATTTATACTGAGATTACATTACACACAGGTGGGCTCTATTTACTATTTCGGTGACTTCAGTGCCCCCATCCCCACAGTGCTGCCGGCTTCCCTCCTTTCCTTTCCACCGGCAGCTCAAAGCACACAATAGGATCCTTCAGGATGGAGGGTGGGGGAGGAAGGCTCCAGTAAATATATCACATTTACCAGCCCCTTACTTTCCTGAATGAACACAATGAGTGATCGGTACCGATCACTCACTGTGTTCATTTATAACTGAAGCCTAGTAAACTGTGTTTTTGGGTTTTTTTTAGGGGGGTCCTGTGAGGTTGGCTGTATGGGGCCCTGTGGTTTCTAACAACAGCCATGCATATGTGCAAAAAACAACGTCTTCAGCTTAGTCATGTGGGCTTCTAATGAAAAGTAGGGCTTATTTTGTCGAGGGATCAATTTGTTTTCCTTAATATCCTCAATATTCTTAGAATTCTTGGCTGACACCAGGGCAAAGGCAACATCCATTGAGACTGACTGAAAATACCATAGCCTGGACAATTCTAATCTTTGTACTTGTGGACGAATCAGTATTTTTAAACATCTTCCATCCAAGGTTTTTCAATGGCCAGTCAGCATCATATTTCTTGACTACTGGATCCTTTGCTGTTAATATTTTATCCAAGGTAACAGAAACTGTCTACTACTACTTTTTGTGTTTTCACATAGCCTTACCAAATTTGAATCCATGTATTAATCAACTTACCAATTCTCCTTTATTTCCTTTAGCACCAGGAGGTCCTTCAATAGTCAGAGTGTCACCCTAGAAAGGGTAACAGAGGGTATTAGAATCGTCCTACAAAGAAGAGAACACATCTGATGACTGAAATGAAGATATTTTTTACCTTGTCTCCTTTAATTCCCACGGGGCCTGGGTCACCCTGGAAAAGGACAGAATAGGATATAGTCATAGTCACCCAAAGAGTGTCAGTGGTGACAGGTAAGACAGCAAAGTCTACAGTAGTTCACCGTTCTACACCTTCTCAACAATTGGACGAGTGTTCCTGCACAAATGAAGGAATCCCGTCATGTCTAGAGATACTGGAACCCTATCACAGGGCAGGCCAGCAAAGGACAGACACTTGCACTTTTTTTTGGCTGGCTGTGTCTATGCCTTCGGTCAACTATGCTACTGTATATCTAGATGACAATTCAATATATCAACACTCAGGAATGGAACCAGCCATTTGTGCAGGAAAAGCAAATGAGCGAGTGATGAGCTGCCTATGAAGAGACTTGTTTCTGTACATTTTCCAACTGTTGAAAAAGACAGTTTAAAGGAAGGGTATTCTTCAGCAGTAATACATGCCATTTTATTCCTGTGAAATACATTTGATAAGAAATATTCTTTACAAGATACACCAATAATTTAAAGAAAAACCATAGCTTGTAAACAGTCATCGTTACACTCACCAGCCACTTTACTAGGTCCACCTTCCACATAGAAGAAAAATATATTTTAAATATATTTAAAAAATATTCTTCCCAAATATATTGACATATATTTGAAAAAAACTACCGTACCGTACTACCGTATTTTGGCCATATTCAATATATTTATATATATCTATATATATATATATATATATATACACACACATGCACACACACATATATATATATATACACTGTATGTTAAAATGCGTTTTATTACAAAATATATGAAAAAATATTTTTAAAAATACAATATACTGTATGTCTTTAAAAATACATTTAATCTACATTTTTGGAAAGCATTTACAAGTATATGTAAAAATATATGTTAAAATAACTTTTTTATATGTTAAAAAAATTCTGAAGAATATATTTAAAAAATATTTTTCATATATTTTGTAATATATAAAAAACGCATTTCAACATGCAATATATATATATATGTATATATATATATATATTGAAATATATTTTGAAATATATTGAATACGACCAAATTTATAGTATTTCAAATATATGTCAATATATTTGGGAAGAATATTTTAAAGATATATTTCATATATATTTTTCTTCCATGTGGGTTGCTAGTGCCAAGAAAATGTCCCCCACACCATGACACCACCACCACCAGCCTGAACCCATTGATACAAGGCAGGATGGATCCACCACACCATGACACCACCACCACCAGCCTGAACCATTGATACAAGGCAGGATGGATCCACCACACCATGACACCACCACCACCATCCTGAACCATTGATACGGCACCACGAGCCTGAACCATTGATACAAGGCAGGATGGATCCACCACACCATGACACCACCACCACCAGCCTGAACCATTGATACAAGGCAGGATGGATCCACCACACCATGACACCACCATCAGCCTGAACCATTGATACAAGGCAGGATGGATCCACCACGGCACCACCAGCCTGAACCATTGATACAAGGCAGGATGGATCCACCACACCATGACACCACCACCACCAGCCTGAACCATTGATACAAGGCAGGATGGATCCACCACACCATGACACCACCATCAGCCTGAACCATTGATACAAGGCAGGATGGATCCACCACGGCACCACCAGCCTGAACCATTGATACAAGGCAGGATGGATCCACCACACCATGACACCACCACCACCAGCCTGAACCATTGATACAAGGCAGGATGGATCCATACTTTCATGTTGTTTATGCCAAGTTCTGACCCTACCGTCTGAATGTCTCATCAACCAGTCTGCCCATTCTCCTCTGACGTCAACAAGGCATTTGATATACTGAATGCAGGGTCCGGGGAGACCGAATATAGTGAATGCAGAGTCCAGGGAGACCGGATATAGTGAATGCAGGGTCCGGGGAGACCGGATATAGTGAATGCAGGGTCCGGGGATACCAGATATAGTGAATGCAGGGTCCGGGGAGACCGGATATAGTGAATGCAGATAGACCGGATATAGTGAATGCAGGGTCCGGGGACCGGATATAGTGAATGCAGAGTCCAGGGAGACCGGATATAGTGAATGCAGGGTCCGGGGAATGCAGATATAGTGAATGCAGTGTCCTTAAGTGATCACATACTCTGTTCTCATCTGCAAGGATCTTAGATGGCTGGAGGAGGAGAAGCAGCAGCACACTGGTCAGCCCAGTGAATGACTGTATTAAAGTGCATACTCACAAACCAAAGGAAATACTAAAACAGAGACAAAGAACCAGTGGTAACGGTCCCAGATAGCGGGAGACCCTTGATGTGGTTAGCTGATGCATTTTGGGAGACACATTCCCTTCTTCATAGCGTTAGCTAACCACATCAAGGGTCTCCCGCTATCTGGGACCGTTACCACTGGTTCTTTGTCTCTGTATTTATATCTCCTTTGGTTTGTGAGTATGCACTTTTATGCATTTTAATAAATTTATTTTTTACCATGGTAATGCACAAAGAGAGTGCGCCCTTCTTTTGCTTTTCCTCACCAGTACCAAGGTTTCCCAATCTTTCAAGGGCTGCACCTCAGAGAATGACAGATACAGTACCCCAGTCAACATGAAGATTGAGCACTGGTTTCGTTTTTCTTGACAGTGAGTGACTGTGCAGAGCAGGGGAGAGGGTGTCAGCACATGTCTGATCATTAGAGCAGAGTAGGCTGAGTGCTCAACACAGCCAGAAAACTGACCACGCTGTGCTCTCATCCCTAGTGTGGTCAGTTTTTGATAGGAAAGCAGATGGACTGGCAGGAACACCAAGGATTTCACAAAAAGGAAGTGATACAAAGAGAACAGGAGACTTTCTCATACAAGTACATGGTACAGCAGGCACATATCAGGAATAGATGTTGGGTTTACATATTTTTTTATTTCTGATGTGAATACCGTATGGTTTGGCTGACTATATGCTCTATAACTTCATGTTACTGTCCTGAAACTGCAATTTTGAAATAAAATAAACTTTTGAATGAAAAAAAAAAAACAAACAAAAAAAAAACAAACAAGGAAACTACAATATTTATTCAGAATATGTGCCCATACTGTATTTATCATTTTACAGGTAGAACACAGGGCTGGCTGTATACTTGGAAGTCTTACCTTGTCTCCTCGTTCCCCTCTGTTTCCAGGAAGGCCCTTAGAAGACACAATTAAACTGCATTAGCCAAACAATTTGTTTAATGTCCTTTTTTTCCCCCGTAAAACAGGACACAAACTATGAACAAACGGACAATACAAAAGAACTTACAGCGGGGCCACGGGTCCCCTTCTAATCCGGGGCGTCCATCTTCCCCCTACAATTATAGAAAGCATATGGGGTAAGATAATGACCATTGAGCTGCATTCATACAGTACAGTAGGAGCAATGTGTAGCAAAGACGAGGCAAATTTACAATGCGTCAGTAGATTTGTTTGTGACATGCCCTCTCTATTGGTCAGAAGTATCCAAATTTAAAATGTATCTAAAAAAAAAAAGCAATGGTCTCCAAACTGCGGCCCTTTGCTTGCCTTTATCTGGCCCTTGGGGGTAACATTTCTTAAACCGATACGAGGCACTATTCTTCAGACTGACACTACCAATGGCAGGGCTGTCTTAATGGATGGGCAGCTCTGGGCACTGTGCATGGGGGTGCCATGATAATCTTGCAGTACAGCATATTTGCAAACTGTCCCGGATTTGCCGGGACGGTCACGCTTTTTACTAAGCTGTCCCGGGATGGCCTGGGCAGCATCCCAGAAACACTACTGTGCCATTCTGCCTCCCACTCCCCCATTACTATGCCGCTTGTGTTGATTAGTCTTTGATTTATAGTATGTTGTTTAAAATTGAAAGTAATAATAAATATATATAAAAAAAATAGGTGCAGCGCTAATATTAAAAGTACAAAACATAAATACCGTGCAAAAAATCAATAATATAGAGTAATATATCAACAAGCAATATAAGTTAATATTATTCAATTCATATCTTTAAAGTGAAGGTAGTGCTGATTAAAGTGACCAACAAGTTAGTGTTAGCAAATTTATAAAGTGACAAAGTATTCAATAAAGTGAAAAATGGTGTTTTGGCACTTTATAACACCATTTTTCACTTTATTGAATACTTTGTCACTTTATAAATTTGCTAACACTAACTTGTTGGTCACTTTAATCAGCACTACCTTCACTTTAAAGATATGAATTGAATAATATTAACTTATATTGCTTGTTGATATATTTCTCTATATTATAGATTTTTTGCGCGGTATTTATGTTTTGTACTTTTAATATTAGCGCTGCACCTATTTTTTGAAATATTGATCTTGGAAGGTTTTTGGTACCTTTTTACCGGTGTCACAGCAGCTTATTTATAGCGCTCACTTCTGTGTTCTATGCTAATAATAAATATATGTTTCATTCTATCAACTATTTGTACTTTAATACTTGAGAGTAGGTGCGCAAATTGGGGCAGGCTGGTCGGGGCCCTACCGCATTACTTTGCCTAGGGGCCCATGATGCTATTAAGACAGCCCTGACCAGTGAGGCATAATTCCTCCCACTGACACCAACAATGGGGCATTATTCCTCCCACTGACACCAACAATGGGGCATTATTCCTCCCACTGACACCAACAATGGGGCATTATTCCTCCCACTGACACCAACAATGGGGCATTATTCCTCCCACTGACACCAACAATGGGGCATTATTCCTCACACTGACACCAATGATGGGGCATTATTCCTCCCACTGACACCAACAATGGGGCATTATTCCTCCCACTGACACCAACAATGGGGCACTATTCCTCCCACTGACACCAACAATGGGGCACTATTCCTCCCACTGACACCAATGATGGGGCACTATTCCTCCCACTGACACCAATGATGGGGCATAATTCCTCCCACTGACACCAACAATGGGGCACTATTCCTCCCACTGACACCAACAATGAAGCCTTTTTTACTCCCATTGGCACCTGGGCATTTTCTACTCACACTGGCCACAGTCGGTTCCCCCACAAAAGCCTAAAGGGCAATAAACTGGCCCTTTGTCTGCAAAGTTTGGAGACCCTTGATAAAAAGCAATAAAGTAATACATTGCAGCCTAGCAGTCCTTAGCCTAGGTTCACATCTTCGCAGTTCTGTGTACCGCGTTTGCGCAGACACAGCAAATCATTTATTTGAATGTCCTGTTGTAATTGCGTTTCCTGCTGGAAAATGGTCCCTGAACTTTTTTTTGTATTGAGTAATATTTGTCGAATTTTTTCCATAGTTTGCAAAGCTTAAAGAAACTGAACCTTTTTGATAATGTGGTCGCACGGAAACTGAAAGGTGCTTTTTAGTGCGCGGGAGTGCCATTAAGAGTTAATGGCACCCTTGCACATTTTTTCAAAAGCAATGCTTTCTTAGTGCGGCTGCGGGAACACATGCGATTTACATGTGATTTACATGCACTGCCATACCTGTACAGATGTGAGCATAGCCTTACATGTGGTGGCTGCGTTAGTTTTCTATTTCAGTTTTTTCCTTTATTTTTAATGTGTGATCCTTGCAGCAACACATTTTATGCGCAACGGGGATCATTCACCGCACTGTATCATGCCGGGACTATCAGGTCCTCCCCCTCTGTTGTCTTGTCCATAACACAGACAAAAAGGGTCCTGTTGTCCTCAAAACAATATAACTGGTGAAAGAGACGTTAACAGGCTAAAAAGATTTCTGGCAGGACCAGGGGCGGACTGACCATTTGGAAACTTGGGCACTGCCCGAGGGCCCGGGGTCAGTAGGGGGCCCCATGAGATGCCCCTGGTACCTTTTTCAAAGGCTTTTTTGAGTTTGGGCAAGGACACAGGGGCCCCATGATCCCCTATTGCCTGGGGGCCCCATGAGTTGTCAGTCCGGTTGATTTATATCCTCTATGGCTATGGAGGAACATATTTCAATGAAAGTTTTTCTGGCTGGATTACAGCTTTAAAGTAATTCCAGTGCCAGGTCTAATTTATAGGCCAGTATTACATAAAAATTCAACCAATATAATAATAAGAGAGACTTACTCTGGTTCCTGGATCGCCTCTCTCCCCTCTTGGGCCCAATAGACCAATTCCTTGGTCACCCTGTTAAAAAAAAACACATAAATGGTCTGAATATTAGTAAAAATATTCTATAGATGTAGCACCCTTCTAAGAAAGCTAGATAATTATATTTTTAAAGGCTGAATAGCAGCCTGATGCAATAGCCAGAGGGGTCATATTTGGGTAAGGGCTAACAGGCTTTGCAGATCAGTTCTATGAAACCTCCCTCTGATCTAGAGACTTGGAGAAGTCTCTAGTATTCAGTGGGCAGGGGGTGAGGAGGAGCTGGTCTGCACTCTCAAGGGATCCTGGCCAATTCCCGAGCAGGAGGCTTGGCATGGGGTTAGGACAGACCTTAAGAGTGACTGAGCCTTCACAGCAGCAGGAGAGTTTGGGTGGAAGATAGAAGGAGCAGGATGGAGTAAGGAGCTGGAAGGGAGGATCTCTCAGCCTCATCGTCTCCTGAGAGAGGACAGCCTGGGAGGCAGGGAAGGAACTAGCCCAGCATAAGGCCTGAAGGCAGCCACCAACCTACAAGCTTGCAGGGAGAGACTGAGTTCGTAATACCACAACCCCTGGGCCAGATAAGGGGGAAAGGGCATTCGGGTGCGAAACCTGACTAGCCCCCATCTGGGACTGCTGATCTTAAGAGGCAGCTTCTGGGTCATCTTGCCCAGGGCTTCCCTCAGGCAGCTGGGTTAAGAGGAGGGGGTCATCTGGGGTCTGAGGTGGTACACCAGGAGAGGCTGGATAGCTCTCCAAGAAGATAAAACCCTTCTGAGCACTTGTACATAGTTTCAGAAAGTTGTCCTCAGGTCACTAGTTCTTTATGGATTCTATGTATCCCTCATCTCCATCCAAGTTTCAATAACTTAATACAATCCAATAAAAACAAGTTCAAGGACTGTTCACTGCCTCTGGAGTGCAAGGCTTGAAGGAAATGTATGTTGCCTGGCTGTGCAGGACTATATAGGGGGACCCAAAAACTTTTGCAACTCCTAAGGAGGTAGTGCTACATAGACTAAACCCATGTAATGTATATGGAGTAATGTGATACCAATTCAAGGGGTCCTAGACAAATATTTTACTGGGAACTTGACTTCAACATTGGAAGTAAGCTCTTCCCACCTCCAGTCCTACTGTCCAACAAGGGCACCAGATTTGGCCATAGATGGTCTCATTGGATAGTGGAATGGAAGGTAGGTGGGCCTTATCCAAAAACTCCAGACCCTGATTACAGATTGTTAGTAGGGCTCATAGGGCAGTTGGCAGATGGTTTTCAGATTTATACAAATAGCAGCAGGCACCTCATGATATCTACTCTTAGTCAGTTTGAAATTCTGGGGTCGGGAGCTCTGTACAGAGCTTTTTTTGCACAAATATTTATTACCAAAATTTACCCCATAAGATTGAATTTAGCATTACATTGAGAAATTAAATCTAGAAACAAACAGTAAAACATTTTATTTAGGATTATAGAAGAATAGTTGTACCTTATCGCCCTTTATTCCTGGAGGTCCTGGGGGGCCCTTAAATAAAACATTAAAATTAGTTACAGCCAAATGGGTCCAGTTAATGAATATTATATTTTACATCCTGGCCAATAGGTCGCAAAACTTCTTACCGCTGGGCCGGTTGTTCCTGCTGGACCCTGCACACCTGGATTCCCTTCTCTTCCAGGAAATCCAATCAAACCCTATGGAGAAGACTTTCATGAGATGACACAAAACCTGTTTTATTCAATTTCCATGATACAAGCTGAAATTCCTACCCTCTCCCCAGGAGCTCCTGATGGGCCCGTCTGTCCAGGTTCTCCTCTCTGACCTGGAGGACCAGGGTTTCCTGCTGTACCTTGCAAACCAGGAGGTCCAGGTGGTCCCGGCAATCCAACATCACCCTGAAATATGATTTCATTAGTCCAAGGCTTCACATACTACATAACTTTTAAAATTTGTATAATTTTGTAGCTAATTAAGGGACAGAAACTAGAGTTTGGTTCATATAAAAGGGCTTTGATCAATATGTTGTTAAAGTGCAACAACGGTTTTAAATGGGTCAATCTATAATTTATTACTTACCTTCAAACCTTGGGGTCCCATTTGTCCTGCTGGTCCAGGCAACCCAACTCCAATGTCACCCTAAAAGTTAAGCATGTATTATCTTAATTAAAGAATATGTATACAGGTAGGACCCTAATTTGACATCCTGGCAGAAATCTAGAACTTACTTTATCTCCTTTTAGTCCAGGAGGTCCTCTAACCCCCTGCAAGAAAAGCATATACATTAAACCAAAGACTTGGTCCAGAAATTTGCTCTATCCTGTACTAGTTTAACTTACAACTTCTCCAGGTTCGCCTGAATCTCCTTTTTTCCCCGGCTCCCCCTAGTGGCAAAGGAGAGAAAAGTGCATGAAAAGTCTATATTGTGGAGCAGTGTCTCTCAAAATTGTTTTAGTCATAGCATCATTTAAAAAAATGCAAAATGTTAAGGCACCCCTGTCCAAAATGGGGTTCCTCTATCACATCAAAAGCCCTTCCAAGTCCCCTATTCAAACCAGAGTCCTCATCTCCCCAACCCCTGTTGTAGAAGAGCCATCAGTCTCCGCCTTTCACTTCACAATCCTCAGTCCTCCCTTCCACATCAGAGTCCTAAGTCACTCCCTTTCACATCAGAGTCTTCAGTCCCCCTCTTTATATCAGAGTCTTTAGGGCCAGATCTAGCCTGTCTGAGGTGGGGGTGCAGTAAAAAAATGTCAGCAAGGCAGAGGACATTGGTCACTACGGGCAGGGTAGAAGACAGTGGTCACTGCCGGAAGAGTAGAAGACAGGGGTCACTGCGGGCAGGGCAGAAAACAAGGGTCACTGCAGGCAGAGCAGAAGACAGGGGTCAGGCATGCAGGCAGGGCAGAAGACAGGGGTCACTGATGACAGGGCAGAAGACAGGGGTCACTGCAGGCAGGGCAGAGGACAGGGGTCACTGATGGCAGGGCAGAAGACAGGGGTCACTGCGGGCAGGGCAGAAGACAGGGGTCACTGCGGGCAGGGCAGAAGACAGGGGTCACTGCTAGGCAGGGCAGAAGACAGGGGTCACTGCTGGCAGGGCAGAAGACAGGGGTCATTGTGGGCAGGGCAGAAGACAGGGGTCACTGCTGGCAGGGCAGAAGACAGGGGTCACTGCTGGCAGGGCAGAAGACAGGGGTCACTGCTGGCAGGGCAGAGGACATTGGTCACTGCTGGCAGGGCAGAGGATATTGGCCAGAAGCAGTCACAGGGCAGAGGACAGGGGTCACTGTGGGCAGGGCAGAAGACAGGGGGTCACTGTGGGCAGGGCAGAAGACAAGGGTCACTGCTGGCAGGGCAGAGGGCAGGGGTCACTGCGGGCAGGGCAGAAGACAGGGGTCACTGCGGGCAGGGCAGAAGACAGGGGTCACTGCTGGCAGAGCAGAAGACTGGGAACCGAGAGCAGAATACAGGGGTCACTGCTGGCAGGGCAGAGGACAGGGGCAAAGCTCCTCCCATCCCTGTACTGCACACAGCCTGGGCACAGGCAGCAGAGCTCCACTTCTTCCCACAGCGCTTAACGGAGATCAGTATAGTGTCAATCAAGGACAGTATAGTGTGAGGCTAGGGTGGTAAAGTATCTGATTAGAGTGGTATAGTGGCAGGTTAGGGTAGGTTAGGGTTGGCTTGGGTGGGGACAAGTAACATATAGCACACCCAGCTCCCCCCTAGATCCGGCCATGCTTAGCCCCCTACTTTCACACCAGAGTCTTTGGTCAGCCTGAGTGCTTCAAGAAAATTCTTGACGCTGCTCAAAAATATGGAATGCAACACAGCATGCCTGACAAGCCCAAAAGGTACCCTGGGGTTCTGCAAAACCCCCTGGCTGAGAAGCCCTGCTATAGAACCAGCATGGGTTCATGAAGGACATGGAGAACCTTCACATCAGTCCATGCACACACATAAATTCACACAATGGGGCAAATTTGCTTGGAAGCCAATTTAATTTTTCCTTATATCAGCATCAGATAGAGAAACAGGAACTAAAAAGAGATCTCACCAACCCGGCCCAAGAGACAGCAATAAACCTACACAAGTTCTAACCCTTTCCAGCAATAGATCCTTTCCCAATCTATCTAAAACTTCCAAAAAAGTTTCTGGCTGGAGTTCTAATTCAATACCTGTTGAATATCAGCTTATGTTAGTCTTCTATATACCTTAAAGTGGGGTTTGGCTTTCTTGTTTGATGCTTACCCTCTCTCCTCTTGCACCTGGTGGGCCTCTGTCTCCCTTTTCACCCTACAATGCAACATGGAAGATAATTGCTTACATACCCTGGGTAGTATGACAGAATGACTTGAAAGAATGGATACATAAAGAAAAAGTCATAAAGAAATCATTGTGCAAACCAATTTTCAGAACTCTCAAGAAGCTTCTGCGGACTCAGGAGCATGTAGACAGAGACATGTAGAGACCCCCCCAGTCCCCTTCTTTTGGCTAAGAAAGTTAATAAGGGGCCTATTTGACTGATGTGTATGTACAATATGGGGATGGAGGCACCTCCTGTGGGTCCTCGGGCCTGCCCTAAAGTCTAGGGGGAGGATGTGTGGCCTTTTTGGTTCCTACCTCCCCTGTCCCTGGGGGGTTTTCTTCTAGTACTTCGGGAGAGCCCCCTGACCAAGTACTGGGTGGCTGGCTTCGGCTGGCCACAAGGAACGTCCAATTCCCCCTTCGGGGGTCCACCAGGCCTTTTGGCTAGGCACATTTTTTGGACCAAATGGGAACCTTGTCTTCCCTGTCAGGAGCTTTGTGCCCCGGGGTATCAGGGTAGTGGTCCATCCCCTTCGGGGGGGGAAGGACAAAGCACACCCCTAAGTGCACTTTTTCGTGTGGTGTTTTGCACTTGCACTTTTTTTGTGAGGTTTTTCGTTATTTCGCAAGTTTACGGACTTAAAAAAAAAAAAAAAGTACAGTATGTACAATATAATATATATATATATATATATATATATATATATATATATATATATGTAGAGTGCTGTGTAAATTGACGGGGCTATATAAGTACCTGAAATAAATAAATAAATATATATATATATATAAAATGTATATATTTTATATATATATATTATATATATAATATATATATATATATATATAAAAAAAACAAAAAAAAAACCTGCCATTCATAGAGTGAATTTGCATGTATATTTGCTCTGTGCGAATTGGGCAAAAACATATATTCTTTAGGCTGTTTTCTCTTCTGAATTAATATTTCTTTTTTTTGTGGGCTGTAATAAAAATACCGCATTTTGGCCATTAGATGGGGCTGCAAAGCATAGGAAACACATATATCTTTGTAACAAAAGATACAATGTAACAATTCTAGAGAATGCTGGTGGGATTTGGCAAATCAGTGTAACCGCTGGTTAATTTGCTGTAATGTTTCTTCTTGAACCCAACGTTGTCATAGGAGTGTTTGTCTATAAAATTCCTTGTATGTCTGCTTTATGGACATTGATACTGGAAGTTGGTATTTTGAAAATTTTAGGGTAATGAAATGCTTTTAGTAAAAATATGAACCTACCTGTTCACCTGGTAATCTTTCGGCCTGGTCACCGGGAGCTCCCTGATAATATAAAATATTCAAAATGTGTAATACAAAATGTCATCAATAACTTTAAGGTGCTTCTAAAGCCTCAAGTTTTTTTTTTACCTGAATGCATACTATGCATTCAGGTAAAAAAAACTCTGTGTCACATACTCACCCTTCCCCCCCTTATACTTACCTGAGCCCCATCATGATCCAGCACTGTGCACAAGACCTGCGGCTATCCTGACTTTGTCCCTCCTCCCTGGGCAGATCGAGCCAATGGCTCACGCTCCTGTAAATCAACTCAAGTGACGAAGGAGCGAGGGGGTGGGGCTGCTGTCTGTGTCAATGCATGTAAGAGCGGGACTCAGGAGCGAGCCCGCACGAGTGCCCCCCTGGGAATTCCTATTGGGGGCACTGAACAGAGAGGAGGGGCCAGAAGCGCCGTCGGGGGACCCGAGAAGAGGAGGATCAGGGCAATGCTATTGCTATAGAGCAGGTAATTATAGACATGTTTGTTCTTTTTTAAAAAATCCTTTATAACCACTCTAATTTCACATATATAAAGACAATTCTAAAACGCAGGGCAATACAGAATATACTACAGTCAGAATTCTCTGTTATATCACCTTGTTTCCCCTTCTCAGTGCTTCTAATTTGTGTTTCCTTTAAAAATTAGAGGGATGAAAGGCAGCTGAGTCACAGCTGGGAGGGGGAGCAGGGTAATCTAAGCTGCTAAGTCACTTCTGGAAGGGGAAAGCAGGGGGAGCTGAGCTATTGCATCATCACTGAAAAGGGGAGCAGAGGGAGCTTGAGCTGCTAATTCACTTCTAGTAGGGAAGCAGGGTGATCTATGCTGCTGAATCACTGTTGTAAGTGGGAAACAAGGGGAGCTGAGTGGCTGAGTTACTACTTGGAGTGGGGAGCAGGGTAACATGAACTGAGCTGCAGGGTCAGTGCTGGGAGGGGGAGTTAGGGCATAATGGAGCTGATAGGCTATGATTTTAGTGTTTCTCTTGTAAATGTTAAGGATGAATTGCTCCACAGTGCCTGCAGCAACGGAGGTCAGTGAGGACCCAAACCCACTTCATGTATTTATTCACAAATGATCAAATGTATATTTGAATGCAGTAGTTACAATTTAAAAATCTCCTTTTTATATTACCTTCCTATAATCTCTGCAAATTATATTTCAAACTGAGTGGGAATGTCATTGGCTAAATGAAAGTACAAAATATCATAAAAGGTTAAACATCTGACATATTCATATATCAATTGGGCATTTAGCTGTTTGAATAATTGTTTTATGTGTTTCTTACCTTCTCTCCTTTAGGCCCCGGACCTCCGGCAATAAACTAAAATTAAAACACATGTACACGTAGTTTACTTTACAGCAAAGTGTGTGAAACACAATTAACAGTCTCAAATTCTGTAGGATGTTAATTAAGTTTTAGATGTTGCTGTAGGATCCCGTCCAAATATCACCCAAACTGTATTCTCCGCTCCTCGCACGACCTCCTGCTCTCTAGCTCCCTTGTCTCCTCCTCCCATGCTCATCTCCAGGACTTCTCCAGAGCTTCCCCTATCCTCTGGAACTCTCTACCCAAATTTATCAGACTATCGCTTACTCTGCCCACTTTTAGGTGATCTCTGAAAACCTATCTCTTCAGGGAAGCCTATCCTGCCCTCAGCTAATAATGGAATCTTCTACTCCTCCTACCAGTCCATCCCCCACAGCTACTACCTTTTGTACCACTAGCCCCTCCCTCTTAGATTGTAAGCTCCAAGGATCAGGGCCCTCCTATCCCTCTTGTATTGAACTGTATTGCTGATGTATTGTCTCCTGTTATATTGTAAAGCGCTGAGCAAACTGTTGGTGCTATATAAATCCTGTATAATAATATAGTCATCATTGGCATTCTAGAATCACTGCAAGAATCGCGAGATTCTGGAAAGTGATAAGACAAATGCAAAATACACATTCTTGTTAATGACACCTCAAACGTGCAAAAGAAATGGGTATTTTGCCACGCAACAAAACGCACGCAAAACGTAAAAAAAAAATGCGCTCTACAAATCGTACCAAAGTTGGCTCCAAATAAAGTGCACAAGCTACTTTGGCACATTTTTTTGAAGAAGACAGCAGCCCATTCAAATGAATTGCGCTGCTCAAAAAACCACGTATTCAAAAAACGAGCTATAATTGCAACAGTCTGATGTTGCTAGATGTGAACGGGGCCTTAGACTTATTATTTATATTCTGTTGTCTGTGACTAAGGAAGACATCCATTTTTTTTAGAAAACAAAATATACATAACTGTATTATCAAGTATTTCTAAAGTTTTAATATGTGAAGAAGTTATAATAAAGTGTATTGTTAAAGTTTCTGAGATTGGTTGTCTTTATCAACTATAACAAAATTGTGACAGGAGTCACTGTGGGTGGGGGGCCCATGGAACACAGCCCCCTTTGCAGAGGTGGGGAGACCCCTGTCTCAGCTCCCCATATCCCTCTTATGTGTGTAAGTCACCCTGTGCCTGTTAGGTGGGGGGTTACAGGGTGGAATGTCCTGCTGGAGCAAATTGTGGGATGTGTTTGTGTATTGGCTTGGTGGGGGTGTTTCCGGCAGCCCTCCCCCCTGATAGGACTGACTGCTGATGTGTTTCCTGTTGCTGAGTGTGTATTTCCCCGCCCTGTGTATATATCTTGTATCTATGTTAAAATAAAGCAGTCTATCTCCTGGTTTCCTTCCAACACTGGTGTGTCTATTTCCTGTTTGGTCAGCAGTGGTGTCCGTGGATCTGTTTTCGGACAGGGAAGCGGGAGTCTAACGGAAATACCCTAGTGCAGTCGGGGTCCGGTTCTGTTACAAAAATAATATAAAAAAAAAATGTGCCTGCCCACTGAAACTCCCATTTGTCATGTTCCTAGCCACCCCCATCCATTTGTGGGAGTCTAACCCTGTATATTGGAGGGGGAAGACTTGAGTTCCACTTTAATTACTTTCTGCACTTTTGTAAATTAATCTACATCTTGGGAGCTATGGGGGAAGGTCACAAGCTCCTCTATGTTCCAAAACACTGGGCAGACCAACA